TTTGGGTTGAGTTTGTGAACTTCAATTCTAAGTTATATGTGTTAACTTGTGAACTAGATTGACGGTACTAGGTTGTTGGTGAATTGAAAGTAGAAATTAAAAAAGGAATTCGACTCCAGGTATGTAAGGCTAACTTTAACCTTTGTAAAGTCACCTTGTTTGGTGTACGAGTAATTGGTATGTGTTACTTATGTGGACTATTTGCAAATTCTTGTGATTAATATGCCTTGAACGTTGTTGGTTAAGTCTCCCGATATAATGGTGTAAGTAAATGGCAACAAACCAAGTGTGTGTGTGTGAATGTGTTTATGTGGTAAAAGCTGTGTAACAAATGATGGAAAGAAATCGTAATTGATGCAATTGAAATAACTCTGGTAATATCATACATGACTTGTCGCGGGCAATTATCGATGTGACTTAAATTGTATACGGGCTGTTGCATATGATGTAAATGGTATTGATGTTTATGAAAATTCTTTGTGAATTGTTGTTATTGTCGTGTAAAATATGATTGTCCGGTGAGATGGGGTTGTGCGCTGCAACACAAAGTTATAAGGTGTGGGTTGTTGTGATAAGGGTGGCTGAGGTAATAAGGGTGGAAAAGTGATCGAAATCACTATTGAAATTTAAATATGTGAAAGTTGTGAAATCATTGATGTGATGAAATAATGTTGAAAGGGAAAAGGAGAGATTGTGGAACTTGTTTGGCTTTGGTTGTTCCTTTCATGTGCATTTGATTGTTGATTCTATTACTGTTTGTTATCTGTGTGTTCCTTGATTTTACTTGGGGTAAAGTTTGTTCATACATACCAGTACAATTCAAATGTACTGACGTCCCTTTTGCCGGGGGCGCTACATTCGTGTTATGATTGTAGGTGGTTCTATAGCAGGTACTCCAGCCCACCGACAGTAGCACTCCTCCACTTCCCGTCAGCTGAATTGGTGAGCCCCTTTCCTCTCGGGGTCCTGCGTGGCTCATGCCGCTTTTCTTTTGGAGTTTTATTCTGGTATTTGTATAAGGTATAGCTGGAGTCTTATTACCGGCAAGTATTGTATCACCCTTTTGTATCCTTAGAGGCTCCGTAGACAGGAAATGTAGGTTATGTACTTATTTATTATGTATTTGGGCAGTGTAACTTGTAAACCATGCTAAGTAACCATGTATATTATGTAAGTCTCGTAAGAATGTGTTTAAATTATAAATGGCTATTTCATTTGGTTAATGGGTAATGGAAACGCAGGGTAACACGTGGAATAGGAAAGGCACCCAGGTCCGCTTGGCTGGGGCTACCCGGTCGAGCGCTGGTCGCGCCCCTCGTTTTTGGGGCGTGACAATATCCTCATCTACCCGGCGTGGTCACACGCTTAATATCACGAATCCACCTAGTATGGACACATGACCAATATCATAATCCACTCGGCGTGGTCACAAGCACAACATCATAATACACTCGGCATGGTCACAAGCACAATATCACAAACCGCCCGGCATAACTACCTATCCAAACCATATCACAGAGAAAGCAAATATGCAAGAATACTCTCGGACTGGTATAAGTGACATGCTAAGGTGTATGCATGTACAAGTGTGATATCATCACTCAAACCAGGTAATACACCCTAAAATGGCAGCTATCAGGTTCAATCAGGAGATTAACCTTTATTTAACCTCAAACATGGCTCAACTAGCTAATAACATGGATACAAATAAGATAGGCATCAATGCATGAAGCTTAGCAATAACTCAAGCAATATCATAACCTAAGCACAACCCCAAGCATGGATAATATCTCGATGCATGCACATAAGATTAGCCTTACACATCTGCGCCACCAAAAGCAGCTAACTATCACAAATAACTTAGGCAACTAGTGTCTCAACCAATTTTAGGTCAAATACATACCTCAAGCAAGCCAAATATATCCTCTAATAGGCCTTTCACGCGTGAATCAACCTCCGGACGGCTCGAATCTAACCAAAATAACATAATATCATCAGTAAAAGCCATAAGAAATGATTCCAAATGATAAAGCCAAAATTATTAACCAAAATTAAAAGGATAACCCCGATCCCCCACTTCGGAACCCGACTAAACTCATAAATTCCGAACAACCATTCCAATGCGAGTCCAAATATGTGTGTTTCATCAAATTCCAACCTCAAATCGATCCTCAATTCTTCAAATCTCACTCTTCAAAATCATAATCCTAAAAACCCTAAATCCCACATTTAAGTCATGAAAGTTAGGTGTAATAATCAATGGGTAATCAATAACTAACACCAAAATTAACTAGAGATCACTGACCCCTTCAATTATGATGAAAAGCACTCCAAAACTCGCCCTCAATCGAGCTCCACAATTCAAAAAATG